AAAGTATACAATGATATACATATTTTTACTTCAAAAATTTCAATTTTTTAAAGATACATTTTTATTATTTAAAGTTCAATATATTTAATTTGCATTTAAACGGAAAGTTTTTACTAGGGATGTATTTGATATTAGCCCAAATTAACTCGTGATCTTTTTACTTTTCACAGTTTCCTTGACCGGACGAAGCAAATGGTTCAGCTGAAATCTGTAAGTCGATTCGCAACTAATTTTCATTTTAAACATTATCCGAATTGTAACTTAAAAATACCGCGCGCTTTCTCTTTTGAGAAATCACGAATAAAAACTGCATTACCTCGAGCAAGACAACCAAATGCAGAAATTACAGCGATACATTTTATTCGGGAAGGTAAACAAGGTATCAATAAATTTCGTTTAATATTACGAATTTATGATCGGTATGTCAATACGAATTTTTCGATTTTTATTCTCCATATTACGAAAGTCCCGAAAAACAACGCATTTGAAAGCTCGTAATGTAATAAAAAGGAATGCTAATAATTCTCGGTGTAAAATCACGTATTCGATTCGACGTATCGATAAGACACGATAACAAATGACTTTCTTGAATGTCCATTTTCAGTGTACAACACTCCTTGAAGCTATCGTTCTCTTCTTGAATGCAAAAAAGTCATCCACTTTCTACTTGTCGGTTTTGTTTAAAGCGATGAACTCCATAAACGATAAACTCCAATCGATAAATTCGATTACTCCAATTTTTCTGAGTCTCCTTTTTCTCTTGACTTTCCTGTTAGAAAATTATTACGAACAATCAACTGAAACAGGCTTAATATTATTTTATTAGTATATGTTTTGCTAGACAACAAGTCAATAATTTAATATCATGTATTAGAAAAAAGATGATATGATCAGTTAAGTCACTGAAGATATAAGTCTTTTAGAAGTTAATAATGTTTTGTAAAGGACAGAAGTGTAATTATGGAGACAAATTTCTATGATATGACATTATGATGAACAATGGCTTAAAAAGTTTAGCTCGAAAAACGATTTTATTAAGAGACATTTAAAGATTAATGAATTGAAATTGCTTTTTCAATAAATAATGTTAATTGGAAATATATTATATTTTTCTATGTGTTTTTCAAGAAAAGTGGAAAACAGTTCTCGAACGTAACCAAGTATTATTTCATTAATTGAAAAAACAACACAATTCAAAATAATATCAATTCATTTTTTTTTAATCTTATCATCATGTACTTGTTCACAATTAAAAGAAATATTAGAGTAATATAATATCCACGAATAATATCATTTTTTTTTTCAAATTTAATGAACATTGCTAGTTCATTAGACAGTTAATTTTCAAAAAGTAATTTAAAATAAAATTTTGTACAGTATCGAGAAACGATTTTCACATTAATAAATAATATTTTAATCACAGTCGAGTGCTTAACCCGATAAAAAAAATTCAATGAAATTCTGTTCTACTCTGGTCACATTCTATTCCCGGGAAATCGGCAGCAATCTCGATTAAATCCCTCGAGAGGTGCGAACGTTAGGAATCATCGTCGCGATAAAAGACGGCCGGGCTGGTTACAATGCCGAGCCGAGAGAGCTGCTCGTACCTACCTGTACGTGTTACCCGCGTGCAGTAAAGTTTATCTCGCGAGTGTCCGCCACCGACCACCATGGCTCTTACCTGCGGTTCCATACCTGGCCGTGTCTATACGCGCCTAACAGCCGGGACAGTTGGAACAAGACTCGGTGGGGAAATAGTGGACAGACGAAGGAAACGAAGGTAGAGAGAGAGAGAGAGAGAGAGAGAGAGAGAGGATACCACACCTTCAGAGAGTTGATTTCGCGCGAATCAACTGGTCAACGATCTACCCAATCTACCGATTCTGAATAATATAATCAATTCGACATAATACCAGTAACTAGATCGTAGGTTTTTACAAAACATGCAAACATGCATGGAACGCGTGTAATGTACAGGGTGGTTTATTTACGACGATGCAAAAAATATCTTCGCCATGAGTAGGTTAATAACTGATAAGGATACTTTCTTTTTAAGGTCTTTTTTTTTGGAGTTTTCAAGATCATCGATGTTTTTTTTTCATACAATTATGTATTTTCTTTTTATTGTACCTTTTTTATTGTGTAGCTGATAGGTTCAGTATAAAAATAGAGAAAGTGTCAAAAATGAGGTATTTATTATGATATATAGTGGACAAACTTCCGTTTCTTCAGCTACGTTCATGAATGGTGGAAAATATACGTAAAATAGTGTATTTTTGAAATTCTTTTTAAAATTCGAAGTTAAATAAATATTGTAGAATTATAATTATTAGAATATTTACCATGGAATATTAACTATAATTAAATACTATTACAGATGT